CAAATACAGAGTAGCATAAAACATTGTCCAGTAACAATATATACTTCTTCACAGTCCTCAAGTAGTTAAATTAAATATATTTTAGAATTTTCCAATTAGCTCCTGCTAAAATCAAAATATATGCTAGCATTTAGTGAATGCAGAAATTACATAAACATAAAATGCAAATTCATGGCATGTGATAGTAATTAAACTCACTAAAACACTTGGAGAAAACACTTATTCCTTTGCCTCTTCAATAACCTGAATTAAAAGATAGAGTGAAGGTATTATTAACCTTATAATCAATAATTTGAGAGCATAATATCGAGATTATTACAAAAATAAAAGCATAAGACAAAGGGCATTATACACAATCTACTAAAACCTCAAACTATTCACCATGTATGTCTTAAATTCGTTTATGTAAAATAGTTTGTTTATATTTAACATCATTCTTAAATTAAGAACTCCAACAACTATGTTCCTTGATAAGAATTTATTTGAAAAGAGCAAAGTCATCAACAAATCACAATTGAGCAAAATAAGAAATTATAAAGGAATTACCAAAAGAAACTAAAATGAATGTAGATTCTTTATCAAAATCAAGTCGAGATGAATATTTTTATCATAATTATCGTTAAGTTCAGGTGAAGTAGTTTTCATTAAGATTGCATCCTAGATGCTGAGAAATACATTAAAAAATTATTTGCAGACCATACATATATTCAAATCATGACTAAAGAAAAGATGTCATTAAAGTTCATTGCTTCACCACCCATCTAGCCATCTCATAGTCATAAGAGAAAATCTATCAATTTGGGCACATATAATGCTAACTATGTTCAGGGTTTACTCATATAAATTTATAAAAGTAAATTGGATCATATCACTTTTCTATTAGAATTCAGAAATAGCTATCACTAATTTCTTTCAGTTTAAAAAGAAGAAAGTAGTTTTCACTAAGATATCAACCAAAAAAGGGATAAACAACTTTCCCATATTCTATCTTCAAGGTATAGTGCAGGAAAAATATAAAAAGTCTCCATTTACATTTACATAAGGAAGAAATACATAGGTGAAGAGAAAAAACAGTTCATTTACTAAATCTATGTTGGTCCGATTCTCCAAAAATATTGCCGCACTACTGTCATATTTCCAAAAATACACTACTATTGAAGTATTCAACACACATTCATAAATATTATTGAAGAGTCCGAACAACATAACACTAAACAACTTATACAAATCAAAATATATCAATTTGTACTAAGGTGAACTCACTTAAAGCATTTTAAGGATTAGGATACCTGGAAGTGCAAACTTGCCAAATGCATACAGTAACATATAAGCCATACATTCATTCAAATATTCTTTGGATAGATATAGATCATACTAACTTTGTTCAATGCCTTTACTATGGACTTTTATATTGAGAGTTATATAAAAGGAAAAATTCAAAATGTTAAAGAAAAACATAATAAGTGGTAGGAAAGAAATATTCATGAAAGAAAAATTGGAATTCTAAGATCATAGGGAGTTATATCCTTAGAAAAGACTCTAATTGAAAACTTTACCTATACTTATGTCACAACGTCAGTATTGAGGGAGAACACATATAGAGGTCACCTTCTATTAAAGCTTGCCTCAAAGATTTGAAGCAAAAGAACCTTCTCCGCTATGGGGTAAGCTTCATCTGAGAAAATAAAGTAGGTTCATAAGTCATTTGAAACTAATTTAATATTAAGAGAAGAATCAAAGTGCAAAGTTTAACCGTAAAACTATAATCCATTTTGGGCTTCAATGAGTGATCATATCGATTAACAACTAATAAATATGATAAGCAGAATCACAATCAACTTCTAAAGAAAAATATAGAGAATTAGAAATCTTTGTTTTCTACCCCAGTCAATCATTATAAAAACTTGTTGCATCAAATTCAAAAATGCATACCATATGGATCAAGAAGAAATTTTGTCAACCAATTAACTATTACCAAGTGAAGTTGTAATTTTTGCTAGTAAAGTTGATCAAACATTAAGTTTGGCTCACTTGAATCTGCAAATAAAGACAAAGCATCTCAAAATTAGGATTCAATAACAAAATTCAATTCTAGTTATGTCGTTCAATCGTGAATTGTATTTTTGCATGAAGAATGTAATTTTTTTGAAAACACTCCTTAATTTTGAAACACCTAGTTGACCCGACTCTCTTTTTCTATTACTGTATTTTACGTCTTCAAAGGAAATTCCCCAGTTCTTGCTAAATTCACTATCCCATAATTTATACCTCAAACGAATCATTTAGTACCATACAGAACATAACCTTAACATATGGAGCACATACAATAATTAGGATTTTAATTTCACAGATAACTCAAATTCAGGACATTATCCATACCCAGTTGAACTGAAAAATAATAACAATATAGAAATCCACTTGTATGACTACACCCACCTGAAATATTAAAACGATAGTAAAACAAGTAGAGAAATTACCAAATTAAAGGGGAACTTTGAACTGATAAATGCAAAAGAAATTACAGCATAAAGAAATTAGAAAAGATTGTTAGAGCATAGCTCAAAATCTACCTAAAAGACAAGTAAACCTCAAAGTGAAATTCAAAAAATAACCTTCATTAGGTCTACCTTGAGTAAGAGAATCTCTTATTTTTACAAATTTTCTTAAAAAAAGTTTCAGATTTTACCTAGTTTCAAACCCAACTATGAACATTTTCAGAAAGAAGAGAGAAGAAAAAGTAATAGTAGAGTATTAATCGAATCTTTTGACTCCATTTAAGTCTAAGAAGACGACAAGCAGGAGTAGAAGAAGAAATAGTACTAGACAAAGGTGTATGGAGAGTCTCCGATGAACACTAGTGAAATTAGCGATTTTGATAGATGGGTAAGGTTTTGAGGATGGGTTTTGTTTTATTTTAGCTTTTCTAATTTAGTATTCTTTTTTCTACCATTCTTTTAAAAGAATTAAAATTAAGTGGTGTCTCTCCCACTAAAACTTGAGCATTAAGGACTAGTTATTGATCACTTTAACGACCACAATTAGTCGCTCCGTCATTTGATAGCACAAAATTGAGAATTAGGGACCAAAAGAAAATCTGGTCCAAACAAGTATGTTGTTAAAGACCAGATTTTTATCTAGTCGCACTATGTTGGTCCCTAATAACCCTTTTTCTTGTAGTGCTCTTCAAGTGGATGATAAAACCTCAAAAAGAGATTTCCTGCATAGGGAAAAAATTTAACAATGTCAACCACCATATACCTTCCATTTTTACCAGGCATTCCCACATGAATTCCACAACTCAGCTCACTACCGGGGTCAAATGGAAAGGTCTTCCAAGAACTTCGATTAAGTGCACCTCCATTTATCAGGTGGCCACTCGTTACTCCCAACAACATACTCCACTCAACAACATGAGCATCATCATATGTAAACATGTAATAGAGAAATGTGTCTCGCAAATCAACCTCCTCTAGGGTGTTTTCATGTGTATGACTACCAATAGGCTCAAAAGCATTGGTCATAGTATCAAGGAGTGAAACACACCAAGAAGAAGAAGTAATGGGAAAACACACACCACCTTCCTCCTCATCACATTGCTTCCCCACAAGAGTACTCTTATCTTCCAAGAGATTTCCATCTTTCGGAGGGAAAGCCTCACACCATAGTGGGTTACTATAACAAGTATAGCTATCAAGAACTATACTGCTTTCAAGATTCACACTACTAGGTACATCACTAGGAGTGATTTCATCATCTTCAAATAAGACATTGTACTTAAGGAGGGAATGAAGAACCACTAGGGAAGAATTAAAACATTCAAGTTCACCCTCAAAAAGACACATATCAACTTTCGAAGCATTTTCAAGCACATGATCTCTATGAGCAAGGCAACCAATTAGATCTTCCACAATAGCTATGTTCAAAGAGTCACTCCTAATCAATTGATCAACATTATTATTAGTACCACTAACTTGAGGTTCCTTAATCACATTACAAGAACCCTCAACCAGTGAACTACACTCACAAACAGGTTGATCATCACAATCATTACAAAACAATAAGCTAGCATTCAAAGCATAGTTGTCAACACTAAGTGGACACAAATCGATCTTACTAGAAGAATCAATTCGGTGATCAATAGGATCAACTAGTGTATCCACACTCTCAACAAGCACATTATCAATATAAGGTAAAGAATCAATAGGCTCACATAAAGACAAGCTAACATTCACAGATTGTTCATTTGCAATGTTAAAAGTGTTAAGATTAGCTATTGTACCTTGACGCCCGCAAGAAAGATCTTCACCTTGGATGTTGGGACATCCCACAAGTGCATCCATCACACCTTCGACTGTAGGCTCGATGGCTGGAACTTGTGTTCCTTCATTCATCATGCTTGTACCTACATAAGAATCCTTACAAAGTGAAGGATGATAAAAAAAGGTTAGATTGAGATTGTGGCAACCCTCTCACTTCACTCCTTTCAACCTCTCATTTTTCCACTCTAAGGTTGCCACCTTGCTTTCCCTTACTCCTTTCAATCTTTTGTATCTCATTTTCCACCTTAGGAAGAGGAAATAGAGGTGTTCCCCAATGATCCACAACACACCTGTACCCATTCTGCTCGTTTGGGACCCTATGTTTAATAAACCAATTGGCCCCCAAAATTAAGTGACAAGAAGCCATGGGCATTATATCACACCAAACCTCCTCATAGTATTTGCCGCGTGTGAAAGAGACTTTTACCCCTTTGGTAATCTTACATCTCTCCATGGTGTATGGATAAGTCCTTTGTAGTTGAGGTAGTCCCAAAAAGGCTACCACCTCCGGAGTGATGTAGTTTAGATTGTACCCATCATCGATGACAAGGTCAAATCCCAAAGACCCACAAATGCCAACTTTTTTCCTAAGAACTGGTCTTCTCAGATCGACATTGAAAAGCTTTGTGTACCCCTTTGGCACATACTTGAACCTCATCAGCCCTTTCAATCCCTCCCATATCAATGGGTGGGTACTTCCTTGGAGTGTTCGGAGCCTTTCCCCTTGAGTCCACCAACCCAATGCAAGCTTCGAATATCACTTATGGATTTTGGAATTGGCCAATTCTTAATAGCATCAATTATAGACTCGTCAACTTCAACCCCTCTTGAACTCACAACAAAACCTAAGAAGGCAACTGCATTAACATAAAATGAACACTTATCAAGATTAGCATAAAGTTGTTCCTTCCTAAGCACATCAAACACATACCTCAAATGCTCAATATGATCATGCATGGTTGTGCTATAAATCAAGGTATCATCAAAATAGACAACCAAAAATTTCCCTATAAAGGGTTTCATCACATGATTCATGAGATGCATAATGGTACTAGGAGCATTAGTAAGACCAAATGGCATCACCAACCATTCCTATAGACCAAACTTGGTCTTGAATGCGGTTTTCCATTCATTATCGGGGTTCATCCGGATTTGATGGTAACCACTCCTAAGATCAATCTTTGAAAACACACAAGATACATTCAATTCATCAATCATATCATCTAAACTAGGAATATGATGACCATACTTTACCGTAATTTTATTGATGGCTCGGCAATCGACACACATGCGCCATGTTCCATCTTTCTTTGGAACCAATAGGACTGGCACGACACATGGACTCATGCTCTCCTTCACATAGCCTTTGTTGAGGAGTTTCTCAACTTGCCTTTGTAGCTCCTTGGTGTCCTTCGGATTTCTTCGATAAGCTGGCTTGTTTGGCAATTGTGATCCCGGCACAAAATCAATTTGGTGCTCAATTCCCCAAAGAAGGGGAAATCCTCTTGGAAGCTCATTTGGGAAGACATACTCATATTCCTGCAAAAGAAAGGAAATAGAATTAGGAAGAGAATAATGAGATAAAGTTAGTTTGTAGCACATGATCCCTATGTGTAATAAGGATCAAAGAACTTCCGGATTCAATTTCCTCTCTTATCTCCTTGTAATTTGCCAACAACACTTGGCCCTTTCCTTTCAACTTCCTTCTTTCCTCTTCTTCTTCACTCTCGGCCTCTACATGTTTCTTTCACACTTCGTCTTTTCCTTTGACTCACTCATCCTTTTATATATATCATTGACTTGAGAGGGTTCATAGGATGAAGAACATACTTATGATCATTCAACACAAGTGAATACTTGTTTGTTCTCCCATCGTGTTTGGTTGAACGATCATGTTGCCAAGGCCTTCCAGTAGCACATGACAAGCTTGCATTGGGACCACATAACATAAGACGTCATCTTGATATTTTCCAATCTTAAACTTGACCATCACTTATCGATGCACCCTCAATTCTCCACACTCACTCAACCATTGAAGTTTGTAAGGTGTAGCATGCTTAGTAGTGGGAAGCTTTAAGAATTCCACTAATGCAGTACTAGCAACATTTGCACAACTCCCGCTATCAATGATTAAGGAACACACATTATCCTTGATGAAGCATTTGGAGTGAAATAGATTCTCTCTTTGGCTCGGATCATCTAAGGACTTACTAATCATTGCTCACCTCACCACATATAGAGGAGCGACGGTCTCTCCTTCTTTGACACAAAGATCCGGTTCCTCATCTTCGAACTCATCCTCTTCTTGAGATCTTCTTCACCACCATCTTCTTTCTCCCTTTCTTCACTAAGATATATTTCCCCTCCTTGAAGTAGAGCAATCAATCGATTGGGACATTCATGCATTATATGATCCCATCCCCTAAATTTGTGACATTGAATACCTTTAGTGATCTTGGTTGGGTCAGTGATACCTTTGTCTCTAGGCAGGTACCTTGGAGTGTTTCCATCAAAGGGCTTCTTAACATCCGAACCCTTGTTCCAACCCGACGATGTTTGAGCTCCCCCTTTGTTCTTGCTCCAAGAATTGAAAGATGAAGTCTTGTACTTAACCACCTTCTCCTTCTTGAATTCTAGCTCTATATCATGGGCGGCTTCAAAAGCATCATTCAAAGTAGCAAACCTATGAAGGGTCATCTTAGAAGAAATATCTTTGTTCAACCCTACCTTGAAGCGAATCACGACATGCTCTTCAATTTCTCTATATTCCAACTTCATGATTATGTTTTGGAACTCATCATGATAGGCTTCAACACTTTTGCTTCCTTGCCTTAAGTTATACAATTTGGCAAGTAATCCTTGGTGGTATCTTTCTGGCACATACTTAGCTCTCATCAGCCTTTTCAACTCGGGCCATGGTGAAGGATGACCTTCTTGAACAATTAAGTGATACCTCTTCATGTACTCCCACCATGTGACAGCATACCCCTCGAATTACGCGATAGCATAGCAACTACTTTTGACCTCCGCCAATTCATTCACATTGAAAATTTGGTCACATTATGACTCACATTCTAAGTAAGCATCGGGATTGCATTCCCATGTGAATGTCGGAAGAGTCATTTTGATAGAGTTGATGCCAACATCTCAGCCTTCATGGCCACCTTGGTCATTGTAGTGATAACCCCTTTGATGCCCTCCTTGATAGTGGTTACCATGTTCTTCCCTAGCTTCTTGACCAACTTCATGATTAGCATTGACCTCCCATTGGTCTCCACCTGGAGGGTGGTTCCCATGTCGTCTCCTATCAAATGGAATTGGACCCAATCTACCTCTTGGTCCACCTTGCAACACTTGACCTCTTGGTCGATTCCTTGGTGACTCATTCCATGGTGCTTCTTCACCTTCACCCTCATAACCTCCTTGATCTTCATCATTCCTCACCTCATTCACGAGATTTGGTTGTGGTTGTGGTCTTTGGTAGAGATTATTTTGGTTAGGTGGGGTTTGGTAAGGATGGCTTTGATTTGGTGGAGTTTCTTGACTAAGCGGAAAATGGAATGGTCGATGGGTAGTTTGGCTATTTGAACCCAATTGCACAAATGTTGGGTGCAAGGCTTGGTGGAGGGTTTCGGGTGTGAGAGTAGGAGAATGAGTGTGATCATGCTCACTTGTAGTAGCACGAAAAGTAGCTTGCGGTGTGGAGTCATTGGAATTGACTCGACCTTCCACCGTAGTAATCCTACCGTCCATCCGTGCTATATCACCTCTCACATTATTCAATGTTTCCAACAAAGTAGCCAAAGTAATTTCTCTGATGGGTGGTTGAGTATCTCCTCATGTCTCCATTGTACCTGACATTAAAACCAACTCACAAAAATAAGCAGCAAACAACGTTATCATTAATAAATTGAACTCATAATCACTCGTGTTTACACACCTTTGATTGCCGCTCAATTGGCACGGCTAATGTTGACAATTGTTATATTCCGTCGATCACAAGGTACCAATTTCAACTCTAAGTCGGAATGGATTCTTGTTTGAAGAAGAATGGACGACTCGATTTTAAACACACGGACTGGAATCAAGAATTAACTACGAAGTAAAAACGAGAAAAGCACGAAAAGAAAAGGCACAAGCAAAGAAGTGAATTCAATAACCAATGGTCAACAAGTAGAGTAGTTACGAGTTGAAAATCAGTTTAGGATTCTTGAGAACATTTGAGAATCAAAAGAAAAGAAACTAAGAATTCAAAACCTAAGATTAGGAGTAACTAGAGTTTCCGATCGCCGAATGACCTATTTTCTTCACCTAAGTTGAAGTTCAGCTCGCCAAACTCAGCAAACGGACAAGGCAACTCGGCGATAGGGGTGGTAGTTTGGCGATACACCGATGGGACTCGGCGACCAAGGCTTGGTTCCGCTGAATGTTCCAGTAGGTCCCTCAAATGGGTGGCCAATTCGGCGAGCAACCTGCCCAAAGGGAGAGGCGCCGATTGGTTAGGCGATGCACGCTTTTGCTCGCCCAATGGACTCTCTGTAGCTCCTTCAATGCTCTGAAATTTGAAATTTGGTGGTCCCCTCTGCTCTTGTCATTTTGTCCTTTAGGACTTACCCTTTTAGTAAATACCTTTTTACAAACACCTTTACTCTTTCTCTTTCTCTTTCTTCTCCTTTTGAATCAACGCTTGCTTTTTCAAGTATTCTCTTTCTTGAAGATATGAATGTTCTTCAAGAACAAGATGAACGCCAATATAAAACCCTTACAATTTTTGTCTCGGAATTTTACAAAAATTTAGTTGAAGGCTCTCCTTGATATGGGGAACAACACCCAATACTTTTTAACCTTCAATTCCAAGCCAAAACCTTCAGATTTCAAAACCCACTTTGTGTTCTTCAAGTTTCTTCAAGTCTTCAATGGTGGATTCTTCAATAAAGCTCCAAACCCCTTCCAAGAGGATTGCCCCCTCTTCGGGGAATTGAGCACCAAATTGATTTTATGCCGGTATCACAATTGCCAAACAAGCCAGCTTATCGAAGAAATCTGGAGGACACCAAGGAGCTACAAAGGCAATTTGAGGAACTCGTCAACAAAGGCTATGTGAAGGAGAGCATGAGTCCATGTGTTGTGCCGGTCCTATTGGTTCCAAAGAAAGATGGAACATGGCGCATGTGTGTCGATTGTCGTGCAATCAATAAGATTACGGTAAAGTATCATCATCCTATTCCTAGGTTAGATGATATGCTTGATGAATTGAAGGCACTTGTGTGTTTTCAAAGATTGGTCTTAGGAGTGGTTACCATCAAATCCGGGTGAACCCCGGTGATGAATGGAAAATCGCATTCAAGACCAAGTTTGGTCTATATGAATGGTTGGTGATGCCATTTGGTCTCACTAATGCTTCTAGTACCTTTATGTGTCTCATGAATCATGTGGTGAAACCCTTTATAGGGAAATTTGTGGTTGTCTATTTTGATGATATCTTGATTTATAGCAAGACCATGCATGATCATGTTGAGCATTTGAGGTGTGTGTTTGATGTGCTTAGGAAGGAACAACTTTATGCTAATCTTGATAAGTGTTCATTTTATGTTAATAAGGTTGCCTTCTTAGGTTTTGTTGTGAGTTCAAGAGGGGTTGAAGTTGAACGCGTCTAAAATTGATGCTATTAAGAATTGGCCAATTCCGAAATCCATAAGTGGTATTCGAAGCTTTCATGGGATGGCCAGTTTTTATAGGCGATTTGTCAAAGGTTTTAGAATAACCGTTTATAATAATTCCCCAAAGTACCTAAACTACCCCTCACTTAGTTGGACCTTTTCAACAAGTCAAACTTGAGTTTATTTTCACAGATTTCGTCGAGAAACAAGTCCGCGACGCGGAGGTGTTCCCACAAGTTTCTGGAAATTAAATTTTGAGGCAGAAGAATCCGCGACATGGACCAAACTTTTGGTCCTTGGTGGAGCTAGTCCGCGACGCGTACATGCTCCCTCCATGAGCAACTTCAACCTGCCTTGGCAGCTGGTTTGGCCAAGGGTTGGGGTCCTCCTCGGGGACCCTTAGGGTGGTCCCGGGGAGTCGTACCCGAATGTTTTGACCCTAAAAATATTTATTAAGACACTAGGATCACCTCCACTGATTTTAGACTCCAAACAATGCATAAAAACATGAACAACATACTAGAACACACCAACACGTAAAAGACTAGTTTCCGAACGTCTTGGTCGTCCCTTGATGTTTGACTTCCAAACTCTTTAAAACTGACCAAAAATGCTATTCTTCATTATTTTAACAAGCTATTAATGCATAAAACCCATGTGAGGCTCTACTTTATCCTACTTCATTTTGAAGGTCATTACAATATTCCCCACTTAGGAACATTCGTCGTCGAATGACACGTAAAACACTTCCGAGGACTCAATGACCCTACTAGCATCTCTCAACCAGCATGTAATATCATTACTACTGCACACATCAAGGAGGAAATGTTAACTCCACATATGAAACATTACAACAAGACTTTCATGCAATTCAAGGAAGTAGGAATATCATCTACCACTCAATATGCACAAAACTTTACCATTTCTCATTTCTTTGGAGGAACTTCCTTCTCCATAGCATATCATGCTCATTACAACATTTATAGGCTCACCATACAATTTCTCTCAAGAGCATAATCATGCAACATCAAGATCACATCAAGGCATGCTCAACGAGGCATCTCATGGAGCAATTTAAACAATTCTTCATAAATGCATATAAATCATAAGGGACATAATCATGAAAACTCATTTATTTATTTAAACAAGAATTCAACTAAAATATGCACATCATAAGGAGAATATGGACACTCAATTCACATAAGACTCCAACGTGCAACAACTACTAAGAACTCTTTGTTTCAAGCTTGAATTAGAATAGAAGGAAAAGATAATAAGGATATCAACAACCTTACTACTCCACTCATCATCTCCCACTTGGGGTAAACCCATCTAAGGTTATCATCAAACAGCAAAGAAAATTGACTTACCTTCATTTGTTCCCTTATCCTTGTTAGCTTGAAGCATATAGAAATGGTTCCTCTTAGGAGCATTTGGATCCGGGCCATCATGAGCAATTTGATTGGTCTCTTTCCCTTTTACCTTAAGTGTAGGGAAATCTCTCTTATGACCCTTACTCCCACATCCAAAGCATCCATCCGTACCGGCAAGACACTTGCCCAAATGTTGCTCTCAAAAGTAGAACCACCTCAATTCCCTCTTTGAGGTTTAGGGTTAGACACCCTATCATTGTTGACAATTGAAGAATCTTGGTTATAGAACCTCTTCTTAGACCTAGATTGGTTTTGTTCATCCGGCCTAGCCCTCTTCATACCTCTATTCATCTTCCTATGTTTCATCTCCTTAAGTTGTTGAGCATAAACCATATGCCTAGAGATATCCATATCATGATGGATCATGGCCGTACGACACTCTTCTTCAACCAAACCGGAAACCCCTATCACAAACTTATTCATTCTAGCCCTAGAATTTTCTACCAAGGTAGGAGCATACTTAGAGAGTTGGGTAAACTTGAGAGAGTATTCCTTCACACTCATATTCCCTTGACGTAGGTTCATGAACTCAACCAACTTTTGCTCCCTCAACTTTAAGGGGAAAAACCTTTCAAGAAAGGCTGCCTTAAACACTCCTCAATCTATTAGGTCAGCCCCTATGAGTCTCTCATCCCTCCATTGCTCAAACCACACTTGAGCTACATCCTTGAGTTGGTAAGAAGCCAACTCCGCCTTCTCCCTAGGAGTCACTCCTATTGCATCCACAATCTTAAACACCTCATCTATAAAGTTTTGTGGGTCCTCATCTACCTTAGACCCAAAGAAGGTAGGAGGATTCATCCTTGTGAAATCCCTTAACCTTAAGGCCACAATACTCTCAATAGCATTCACCCTAGGCCTCATATCT